GGGGGGGGGGGGGGGGGGGGGGGGGGGGGGGGTACTGCCGCCACCCCAAATGCCCCACAGTGACATATCGGTGACTTGGAATTAAACTTACTTGACAAGCAGCCATTGTGGGAAAGAATTCTCTTCCATGAAAAGTGCCCCCTGGCTGCAGGGCGGCTGAGAGACGCCCTGATCACCAGAGTCAGGGAACCCAGGGCCGAAAAGCTTGCCCAAGGAAGCTTGTCCTGCTTCACCAACTTACTACCCAAGCCCAGATAGTGTTAGGTTCCTCAGGGATGAGCGCCCAAACCTAAATGCCTTCGTCCTGCCATTTCCTCACAAATGTCTTGTTTCTTTGCCTAAAAAATGTAAAAAGACGGCTGGTTCATCGTTTTGGAGCGCGTCATCATTTATGGCCTGCCATGCACACACGCCAAGTCGGTATTTCTCCTGTTCATTTGGTCTTGTGCCAATTTTATTGGGAGTCCAAGAACTCAAGAAGGGGGGGCGGGGCGGGGGGGTTTCTCCCCTCCCCCCCAACAGTACCTGTGGCTGAGCCCTGCCACTCACCCCTGAAGGCTGGACACGGGGCTGACGGCCTCTCAGACATGGGGTCAGTCTCCTTGACCTCTGGAGACCCTCCTGCTCTGAACTCTGACCCCAGGGCCCCCACCTCTTCCTGTATCGTTCAGCCCACACCCTGAATGCCAGCCTCGCTCACCTGCTCCATGTCTGCTCGGGCGTCTCCACTCGCGCCTCTGGACCCACCCCTGCCCTCTCCACCCCATCTGTGCCCGGAGGCTGACCAGTGTCGACCGCATCAACGTTCCGCACCCCCAGGTCTGCCTGTGGGTCCACCAATGGGCGCAGGCAGAGAGCAGAGGTGGGAAGGGAGTGAGGCTCCCCAGGCTGACCTTGTCCCTCCACTGGGGGCTCCTGCTCCTGTCCTGAAGCCCCCTTACCCCTCAGGCTGTCCACTGCTGCCGCCTCATGATTCATCACCCCCACCGGCTTCCCAAAAACCTGCCCACTGCCCTAACTGGTTTGGCTCAGTGGATAGAGCATCGGCCTGTGGACTGAAGGGTCCCAGGTTCGATTCCGGTCAAGGGCATATACCTTGGTTGTGGGCACATCCCCAGTAGGGGGTGTGCAGGAGGCAGCTGATTGAGGTTTCTCTCTCTTTGATGTTTCTAATTCTCTATCCCTCTTCCTTCCACTCTGTAAAAAAATCAATAAAATATATTT